GGCCGGTTTTGGTCTGTAAAACAGAAAAGCAGATCTCCAGCCATGGGGTGTGCAGGGCCTTGGGGAGGGGTGGTGTGGCAGTGCCGGGGGCTCATGGTGTAGTGGTACCTGAGCACCACCGCCCTGAACGGCAAGAAGCAGTGAAGGGGTGAGCCCTGGGGGTCCCACAGAGCTCCCCTGGGGTCCCGCAGGGCCCCCCAAGCCCGAAATAGCTGCCGGAGCCGGGACAGCAGCTCGGGTGTGCGATAGCTCTGCTCCAGGGTTCCCGCACTCGGCCTGCGTGGAGCGTGTGCCCCGTGTTTTGTCCGGGCATTGGTGTGTGTGCTGTGCTCATCGGCCCCGTGCTGGCATTGCTGCTAGGGAGAGATTATTCAGTTTTTCATTCCCTCGAGTCCAAGGGTTTAGGAGGAAGGTGAGCTGGGGGAGGCTGGTGCAGTAGGATTGCTCCTGGGGTCAAGTGAAGAGCTCTTTTTGCGGTGCTGGCCGTGTTTGTTGCAGCGTTGGTCCAGCTGACTCTCACGACACGTTGAAGTTTTTCTCTTCAAATCCGAGCGGGTGCAAGAACTGGCCTCGCTACGTTTCAAGCCCACTTAGACATTGGCACTATGAAAGTGGCAACTTCTGCTGTGGTGTTTGCACCAGGTGTAAGGGACGAGGGGCTTGGGAGTCCTGTGCTGCTTTATGCCCCCCCCTCGCCCCCCAACCTGCTGTTTCGGAGACGCATCTGTAGATCCAGGGCTGGGTCACAGCTGCCGGCAGAGCCGGGAGCCCTGTGCGTGGTCGCTGTTTGGTTTGGTTTTTTTTTTCCCAGTGCAGGGTGGTTGCTTTCTGCCTCCCTTAAATTGTGCTGCAGTGGAAACGGTTAAACCATCTGTCACTGTCCCTGGGAGCTTCATAAAAGCAAATTAATTCCACACTGGGTGGAATTATAACCCTAAGGGAACATAATATGGCCATTAAAATCTGTATTTGGCAAATTGTCACAACGCAGGGTTTCTTTTCCAATGACAATTGCGCGTGACGGGGAGAGGACAACCTGTTACCTGCAGCTGGGGCCGCGTGATCGTGTAAATTGTCGGAGTTGGGTTGGAATCCCGTTTCCTCGGGCAGTGCTGATACAGGGGGCTCACGCTTCCAGGCGCAGAGGAAGGCTCCGCATGGCAGAGGTGCTGCTCTCGGGGCTTGGCCCCGAGCTGGGGCTGCTGCCGATACGCTCCTGGGTGCGGTGGGAGCCTGGGGGCTGTGGGTGCTTTGGCTTAGTCAAAACAGATGTGGTAAATAAATGAATTATGGGCAGTGTTTCTTTCCTGGTATGTTTTCCCAGGGTGGGGTCTGAGCATCAAGAAGCTGCGGAATGGGCAGAGGAAGGCGACGATTTGGGGAAAGCTTCGCTCAGGTGGGAGCTGAGCTGCCTCCTGCCTCCCCCAGCGCTGCCGGGGCAGGAGCAGCGGGCGAGAGGGGCAAAGCCACCCTCCGTCCCAGCCAAGGGCTGATCCCCTGTCCAGGGCAGCTTTGGGTGCCTCGGCAGGGTCCCACCGCCGCTGTGGGAGCGCTGGGGAGGCCGCTCAGCAGAGCTCAGCAGCGCAGCTGACCCTGTGCCTGACTGGAGGAGGACGGGGGTGCGCTGGGGGAGTCGGGGGGCTGAGCAAGCCCAGAGAGCAGCCGGCAGCTCTGTTCTGTCAGGATGAGTGTGTGGGGAAGGCAGGAAGGACACCAGGGGCTGGGCAGCGGTTTGTGGATGGAGCTGTGCAGGGACGTGGTGCCACCAGCGCCGTGGTCCTGAGGCAGGCTCCTGCCCCTCCTGCTGCCAGCGATTGAGGGTCCCTGGGGCAGGAAGGAGCCCCCTGGGACCGACACCGCTCCAGTCCCGCTGTCCTGGGTGCACTGGGCATCCTCCATGGAAACCGGGCGTCATCAGCCCACGAGCTGCTCCAAAAGCGCTTAATTGCTGGCACGAGCTGCTTTCCTCAGCTGGAAACATCCCAGGAGGGGAGGGATTTGCCTCCTTGGGGAGAAGCAGATTGCAGCCCCAGGGATGGCCCGAGCCCTGCGGGTCTGGGTGGATGCTGGCGCGCACCGGGTCGTGTTTGTGCCGTGACGGAGCGCAGCAGAGCACACAGCACCGCAGCAGCCGGGCCTGGCAGCGACAAGAGTCTCTCTGCGTGCAGGAGGGGACAGTCCCTGGGGTCTCCTGGTTCTGATTTGCTTTGCAGTCGGGTGGGGGCCAGCCCTGGGGGGTGGCAGCAGGGCTGTGCCTGTCTCCAGCACTGCAAAATGGGTGACGTGAGGAAGTGGAGGGTTTCTGAGTGCACATCTTCCGTTAACTTAAAGGGAAGTGTTTTGGTTTTGGGTTGTTTTTTTTTTCTTTCTTTTTGTCTTTTCTCCAGTGCTACTTTTGAAAATCTCTACCCTTGGCATTATTTTTAAATCCGCCCACTCCAGCCCAGCACCTGCGTGCGGCCGTGTAAGACCTATTGCAGTCAATAGATTGCAGTGAAGGACTTCGACAATTCGGGGAGTTGAAATTGCCATTATGATAAGAGGATGTTTATGTGCAGTTCTTAAATACCCCAGGAGAGCTTCGCTTTTATTTTCTTAAGGCACTAAACAAGGAGGAGACTAAGACAATGTCAGTGCCCTTCCCTTGGGTCACGGTGTTTCGAGAGGTCTCGTACTGTTTGCCAGTCTCAAGCAGAAATTGTGAATTCTCCACTTGGGAATCACTCGAATAAATTTGGGGCTCTGGAGTCTCAGGACTGTAGCTGTCTTGCCAGATTGCAGCCAGGATTTCAGTTTGTCCTGTGCCTGATTCTCCTCCTGAAAGAAATATCATGGGTAGCCTGGGGCAATCCTGGCTTAGCTTGCTCATCCTGGTCTCATGTGCTTCGAGGCTGCCTGGGAAGAGATGGGCTTTGCTCCCAAAGTTGCTTTTTTCCTTTTTTTTTTTTTTTGTCCTTCTTGGAGGTTACAGGTTTTGTTCTGGCCATGATAAGAGCATCCCTTCACGCTTTCTGCTCTCCGCTAACGTGAACTTCTGAGCCAGCCCACATAAGACACGGGAGTGCTGCTCACTGTTCCAGGCAGTGCTGGGAAATGTATTTCCAGTCTGTCTCCGGGGAAAGTGGTGAATTATGGAAAGGCAGCAGAGTGCTGGGCTGTGAGATCCAGCCCGCTGAGCACAGCCCAGGACACACACGGGCTCGTTTGCAGCAGGTCTGGGTGTGGGATGCTGGAGCCTGTGCCTCAGAGGGGACCTGCTGTCCTACCTGGCTGGAAGGTCCCTGTGCCGAAGGGCTGTGGATAGCTCAGGCTCAAGTGGTGTCAAACCTTGAAGCACAAGATGAGCCTCGTATAGGGAGTTTCCAATGGTCTTGTGGCAATAAAGTCATCGAGGCTTCTTGAATGACCCACGTCCCGCTGCCGGCGGCTGCAGAAGCTGGTGAAGAGCTCCAGCAGGTTTTGGAAGGGAGGACACTGGTTCTTGTGTTCCTGCAGCGCCTGAGCGTGCCTGGGCTCTGCCGTCCCACTAGGCACGATGGTGCAGGGATCACATCCTGACATTTCCAGGGTGTCCGTGGGCCTGTGCTTGGGCAGATGGGAGGTGGGAGCAGGTCGCTCAAGGCTGCTACAAGACCTTCTCTGCAGAAAACCATCTGCAGCCGCGTGTTCCTGGTGCCTTGTCAGAGCCACCCTCCTGGCTCCCCGACACTGCTCCTGCTCTCTCCGTCTCACATGTCCCTGGAGGAAGGTGACCAGCAGCCCATGAGCCTTGCTGCGAGCCTTGGGGGCTGGGAGCGGGGAGGCTTGGTGGCCAGAGGCTCCCTGGGGCCCGGCAGGAGCAGTGGGGCTCAGGGGCAGGCAGGGCTCCGTGGTGGTTTGCACGTTTCCGTCCAGCGTACCCCAGAGACGGCCCTTTTCTGCAGAAAGCACTTGACTTTTCCCACTTTAGGTGACCCGTAATGGGCACCGTGGTTCTGCTCCCCTCTAGCACAGGTCTGGCAGCCACCCCGACCCCGCCAGCATCCTCCTGGACCAGGCGGCTCAGGCCGTGCTGCCAGCAGCGCCAGGCTCTGCTCCAGCACTTTCTGCAAACCCCGTCATTGCCTTTCGGCTTAAACGCTCCAAACCCTGGGTTGCGTTTGGGAAACACCCACAAGCTGCCTCTCCGCGACGGGATCGTGTTTTCCCGTGAATCAGTAGCGACGTTTCCATGTGTGACCCGCAGGTAAATCCCACCTACACACCGAGTCTCTCGCTTTGCCTCCCAAGAGGAAATTCCCCAAAACCCGAGCGAGGAGCAGCGGCCGTTGCCCTCCCGGCGAGCCACGCGCGGGCGGCCGCTGAGCGGTTTCCGACACTGGGATGCCTCGACTGGGTTTGCAGCGGGTGATTAGTTAGTCATGCAGCCAGCTTGCTGCTTGTGTGATTTGACGGCTCTGAGCTGTAATTTCCAAAGCTTTGGACAAGAGCAGCGAGGAGTAATCCAGCAGAGATTTAACTTCAGGTTCTGCCTGGGTGAGCCTGCAGGAAGCTGGTTTTTAAGGGGGTGCCTGGCTTGGGTAGGCAGAGCCATGAATACTAGAAATAGGATGTGATTTTTCTTTTTAATTGCATTGCAAAAAAGCAAAGAAACGCTCAGTGGGTGCAGGTGGCTTTTTCCTGAAAGTGGGTGGATTCTTAGAAGCTGGATTCTTTGCCCTGGTTTGTGCTGAGACATCTTTACTTCCCTGCGCCTCTGTGTCCCACTCTCCAGTGGGTTTTGTGTTACCCTCCGCTGCCCGTTACTGGCGTACAGAGGTGGTTTGGGGCAGGACGTGGCATCCTGCACATTTAGCATCTTGGCCTTAGGGACTGTCCCCACCTGTGCCGTTGCTGCTCAGCATGGGCTCAGGATCTGCGCAGCCTCTTTGTTGCTGCGTTTCCCAAGAAAAAGTAGAGCTGAACAGATGCAGCGTTACCCAATACATAAACCAGCTAAAGCCTGTCTCTTCTGATTTCAGAATGTGACACAAACAGTAGAAGAAGAAAAACCCGAGCCTCCGACCGTCCAGGAGATCAAACAGAAAATTGAAAAATACAATGCCAAAGTTACAAACTGCCTGTTGATGAAGCTGGTATGTATTGGGCTCTGTTTACCTAATACGTGACGCTGGTTCCTCTGGGCTGTGAACTGAGCCAGGCTTAGGGAGGCATCTCCAAAGCAAGAGGGCTTGGTGGCTGTTGAGATGTTCCTGTCCTCCTTACCCCATCTGTTTTTTTCTCCTGCTCGGGTTTCCTTAGCGTTCGAGATAACCCTTCCCCGCCTCCATCCCTTCTCGACTGGGAACACTGGTACAGTAATCTCTGGCCAGCCTGTGCTGTGAATGACTTGCCACAAATAGATGAGCCCACGTTGTTCTAGCAGGGATGAGTCACGGTAAAACTCTAAATCCAAAGTGGATTTAGAAACGCAAAGTGTATTTAGAAACACAAAGCCTTTCTAGAAAGAGATGCTTTTCTCCTCTCCGCTGCCAGGCTTGCTTAAGCACAGGTCTGAGAACCAAAGTGGATGCTTTTATATGTTGAAGCTTTGTTGCAAACTTGCTTATCACCACCTGTAAGGAAAGCCTTGATGGTATGTGGTGAGAAGACAAGAAAATCAACTCTTTAACAAACCGGAGTACCACAAAGGTGCAAACTTCACAGGATCTCACAGAGAAGAGGGAAAAGCTTCTTAAAGAGTGAAATAATTAAACTGTAGAACTTCCAAGAACAGCAGCTTCGTAACTCCCTGGTGCTTGCTAACATCTGAAAATAAACCCGAAGTTTAATTAAAATAGTAGATCTTAAAACAATTTCCTTTGTGAAGGCTGCGCAGTAATTTCTGCTGGAATGTCTCGCCCATTGATTTTTACCAGCCCTTGACTTACAGGAGTCATTCGAGACCCAAACGTTTACTCTCGAGTTACTTTGCTTGAGGCTTAGTGAAGATAAATCTTGAGCCTTGATACAGCCTTGGGGGCTCGACTTGGCTCAGCTGCTGGCGGTGGCCGGTCGGTGGCACCACGGGCCAGTGCTCCCAGCACCTGAGGGGGGTCCCCTGGCTTGTTCCTGCCTGGCACCCACGGATGGACTGTACAGAGCCAGGATTTTCTCTTGATTTCTGCATTTTTGCAGAGCTGAGGGTAGGGTAAGGACCTGTCGTGAGACAGGCTGGTCTTGAGTGATGCTTTATTACATGAAGATGAGAGAATCCCATAAGCAGGAAATAAAATGTGAGGAACACAGTTGGGAGATCCTGTTGAACACGAGGGTAGAGACCTTCCCAGAGGTTTCAAATCCTCGCTTAAGTGCAACTATAAATTACATGTAAAGGTTCCCATAACTGTGTTGGTTTCAAATAAGACAAGATCGCACACACACGAGGAAGGGATGAGTCAGTGCTGAGTGGAAGGAACTGGAGAAAATCAATAGTGACTAACCCGAAATTACTGGTTACTTTTGACGTGATTAATATTCTCCCAACTCCTGGCGGTACCGAGGGGTAGAAAGTCCTGCGGTCACCCCACAGGCTGCAGCTCTGCAGACCAGAAAGCCCCTCATAGTGAGGGTAAAGGACTGGAAAGGCTCCCTGGAGCCTGACTCTCCCCTCTCCTTCACTTTAGAACGACGATGGGACGTACACAGGTTTCATTAAAGTGCATTTGAAACTGTGCCGGCCCGTGACGGTGCCGGCGGGGATCCGGCCCCAGTCCATCTACGACGCCCTCAAGGAGGTGAACCTGGCCGACATGACGGACAAGAGAACCTCCTTCTACTTGCCGCTGGATGCCATCAAGCAGCTCCACATCAGCAGCACGACGACGGTGAGCGAGGTGATCCAGGGGCTCCTGAAGAAATTCATGGTGGTGGATAATCCTCAGAAGTTTGCACTTTTCAAGGAGATGCGGAAAGATGGGCAAGGTGAGTTCGCGCCCTCCGACCCGCCAGCTTTCCCGCGGCTGATCAGTTTTGCTTATTATTTTGTGTTGCAGACGCATACCCAAAGCGTTCTTCTAGGAGTACGTGGTGTGGCAGGCACGCAGCGTCTAAATTCCGGCTGAATAAATGCCTGAACCTCCACAAGGAGGTGATGCTGCTAATGGGGAATTACTGGTTTTTCAGAAGGGGGGCTGAAGTTACGGATCTGTGTGAGAGGCTCAGCTGCTTGCGCTGTGATCCTGAGCAGCATGAACTGCTTTTACACGCTCCAGCTACCTCCTGAGCTTTCCTCTGCCCTGGCAGCCAAGATCTCACCGTGGGTGTCTGCTGTCCCCTTGCAGTGCTCTTCCAGAAGCTCCCTCTCACTGAGTACCCCCTGTACCTCAGGCTGCTGGCGGGCCCTGACACAGACGTGCTCAGTTTCGTGCTGAAGGAAAATGAAACAGGGGAAGTTGAGGTATGTGGGTGACTCTTTCCCTTGATTTTTACGTGGATGTTGGCAGTGTTGGGGAGCACGTGGCCGCGTGGCAGAGCTGGGAGATGTACGGCAGAGCCCGCAAGGGTGAAGTGATGCCCCGCAAGCAAGATAAAGGGGCTGGGTTTGCCTTCTAAAATACAGAGTGGGATCCCAGTTTTTCTCCAAACTTAAATAACCAGCTGAATGGACTGCTTGTACCTTACTTTAAAAAAAAAAATAAAAAAGAAATAATTTTGGGTATTTATTGCTCCTAAATTGTGTTGATTTTGAAGAAAACTTGAGCTGTGAAAATGCTGAGGCCGGTTTTGATGGCCAACCCGTAATCTGTTTACAGAACCAAGCAACACCACCCCAGAGTCAATCCTCAATAATTAGATCCAAAAGATTACTGCTATGAGTAATCCACTAATTTAAACAGAAGCCAGGGACACTCGGGTAGCAAATTCCCCATCAGTTTTTGGTTGCAGTCGTGCTCCCCACCACGACGAAGGCAAATGTTGGGAGCTGCTGGATCCGCCGGGGTCGTGCCGGCCGTGCCCCCGCGGGAGGAGCGGGGCTGTGGCCGGGGAGGGACGCTGGCCCCCGCGCCGTGCTCGGCAGACATAAACTCAGCGTTCATGGAGTGATTCCAGTCCCAGCCTGCAGCCTGCCCGTTCCTCGCTGTCAGCCCAGCGCTGTTGTGGGTGACAGCCGGAGCGGCCCCGGTGCCAAGAGCTTCACTGAAGCTCAGTTTTGATAACGTCACAGTCAAATAAAGAGCACTGGACCTCGCTCCCCCCAATGCTGCATCAATTACTCCCATGTATTTTTCAGTTCCTTAGGGAGCTGTGTCGTCTCTTGCAGTGGGAGCTTTAATTCACCCGAGTGAAGATGATTTCTATTAAATCTACTCTCGGGGGCTCAGGACTGGGATGGTCCTTTACACTGCAGCCCGTTATCCCATCTCTCTCTCACGACCCTGCGAGATTAAGCTACCTGGAAATCAGATACGAGTTTAAATGCCTTTTATCGTTCCTCTTTGCAGATTCAGGGGAAAAAAAAAAAAACAAACAAAAAACAACAAACCACAAATGCGGTATGGTGAATGGTGTGTGCTTATTTTCCCTCTGTTTCTGCTGGTTTTGCAGTGGGACGCGTTCTCTATCCCAGAGCTACAGAACTTCTTGATGATACTGGACAAAGAAGAAAAGGACAAAATCCAGCAAGTGCAAAGGAAGTACGAGAAGTTTAAACAGAGACTGCAACAGACCTTGAAAGAAGCCAGAGGCAAGCCTGGATAACCCTTCAGGAGGTGCTGGGCATCAGACTAAGCTAGATACTATTTTTAAAATGAAAAGACGCTTCTCAGGACACCTTATAGCAGTCAGTCTCCCTTTTCATCCTTCCATTAAGGACTGGCTCACAGCACCCATAAAACGAACATATTGCATTTTCTCCTTCTGAAACCTCTTATCCCAGGACGAGAGCCAGGCAAAGAACGGGAAGCCTGTTTCAAAACCGTGCCCGTCACCAAACCAACCACGCAGCTGCTGGTTCGCTTTTCAGCTGTACCATCAGATGGAGAAGCTTCGTGGGAAACGCTCAGTGTTAAACCCAAGGGGAACATCTCCTGGTTAATGTTTTGAGCGGGGCCACGCGTGCTGTTCACACTCCTCCCAGCAACCTGCTTCGTTCTGGTTCGGCGGGGCCGCGGCTCATTGCCTGTGCCCATGCGGCCGAGTTCTCATTTCGTAAGTAGAGCACAGGAAGCTTCAAGATAAAAGCAGAGGAGGTTGTTGCACCAAACCACGTGGGTATTGCAGCTGTAACCAATGCTGGATGGACTTGTTCAGGGCTAAGGTAGGCAGGGAGATGTAAAGTTGTGACACCAAGGCAGCTGCAACACCCAAACAGTCTGTTAGTAAGTATTATTGAAACTTGGCAATGTTAATTTCTAGGAAAGTCATCCATTTTGCTTCTATTTAACTTCCCATTTTGAAGGCAGATGTGAATTAAAGCAAATACCCCCGACGCTTCGCTAAGTTAGCCGGTGTTTTACCAGTTCTCTACTCTGTAGGAATCGGGACCTGTGTTTTAAGAAATTCTGTTTGAAAAGCGTGAAGATGATGGGGCATAGTCCAACGGTTTGATACTGAACATTTAGCAATACATATCCAACAGACCAACCTGGGAAAACTCCAACCCCTTCACATATCAAACCGATTTTGAGCTCCGAACGGGTCTGGCACCAAGACCTGCGTGGGGAAGCTTTAGCACCCAGAAGGGTGAGGGAACCACGAACCTCAGATGCTCTCTGCTTCCTCCTGCTACTCCTCCTTGCACTTCCCACCGCTCCTGCCCGGGACACACCATCCTCTCCCTCCCTGTGCTGCTCTCGCCGTGTCGTGTTCTCCTTCCCCCCCTTCCCCGCTCGCCACCGGTGCTCTGCCTGCACGTGCAGGAAGGTTACCAGGGTCTGCTCTCTACGTGGAGCTAGGAGAGGACAGCGAGTCCCTCTCCCCCTCTCTCAGGGCTCCCCCATCTCTGATGCGCACGCTGCGCATCCCTCATACAAATCCTTCAGCTGGAGCATCAGTCGCTGCCCTAACTCTGCCCGGAGACCTTGACCTTGCTGACGCCCGGCAGCGGGGGGCTGCAGGGTGAGGCAGGTCCCGGGGATGCCAGCCTGAGAGAGGATGGGTCCCACGTTTACTCTCCGTGCTCGGCACACCGTGCACAGCCGGGTTCGGCCTTCCCTCTGTTTACACAGGACACGGCAACAAAGCGTAGCGAGAAAAAGAACCGTTACCACTGGTCGGGCTCAGGCAGGGCCCGAACAAGTGTCCCTCCGAGCTGGCTGTAGGCTGCTGTGACGCCACCTGCATGAAGTAGGGAGGGAGGCAACAGGTTATTGGGTAACAGTTACCACAGAGACAACGTGGAGGAGTCTAAAATTTACCTCAGTGCCTTTTTTTTTTTTTTTTTTTTTTTTTTTTTTTTTTTTACCTCTGCATTTGGGCTAAGGAAGAAGTTGGAAGGGGCTTTGGGGCTTCTGTCAAGAGGCCTTGTCACTCCTGTCCCCCCCAGTTACCCGAAGTACCCTTGTGATGAGGCTGCTCTTGTAGAGGGACAAGGAACTGTTTTGTTTCTTTCCTGCAGGTGACTGCTTGGTAATTTTTATTTTTTTTTAATTCCTCCCCCTCCCCGATTTCTACTGGAGTATATTTGTTTATAAACCCTACGAGAGTAACTGCATCACTTAGAGCCCCTCGGTTTGTATAAATGCCACTCTCTGCAAGCTTAGTGCCAGCTCGTGTTCGAGTCAGCAGCGTAACAGGGCTCGGGCCCGCGGCGCAGGACGGGCCTCCCAGCTGTACTGTATCTACACCCAGATGACCTTTAACAGCGTGACAGCAGCCCCAAAAGCAGCAGTTTTCATGCTTTGGGGCTGTTTGTCCATTTCCAAGAATACTGATTACTTCACTATGCACTTGTGAAGTAATTCAAATAACATTTATCTAGTGCTGCGAGTCTTGAAGCACTGTATAAATACTTCTGTTCGGTCAAGAGGAAGACCACGGTAAAAACTGCCATTGGTTCTGAGAGGTAAGATCCAGATGCTTGTTTTTTAAATCCCTTCTCGTTCTGGCTAAAAGTTGTAAAGATTTCCTTTTTGTTGTTGTTTTCTACTAGTTTTGGTGACTGTCTCCCCCTCCCCTCCCGGCACCCAGCATGTCTTTGACATTTTGTAGAAGGCATGGCTTCTTATGCAATTACCGTGAATGCTGCTGAAACCCTCCTGCAAAGCGGAGGGCTGTTTCTTTCTTTTGGTTTTTTTGTGTTTTTTTTTTTTTCAAGATACGGGGCGTTTGAAGAACAGGTAGATCTTGAAACTCAAATTCTCAACAGTCAGTTGAGCTGTTTAGGACAGAAGCGTTGGCCCCTTCCTTAAGCGCAAAATACTGTTGGCAGTGCCTTTGGTTAGTATATTGTCTTGCCTGGTTTGTGTGAATTTATTTTTCTGTCTGTTGTAAAACATGTAAAATAATGTGTATAGAATGGAATAGTAAAGCTTCTATGGCAAAGTGAAATGCATTTTTGCAATGCTGTAATTTATTTTTACTACTCCCTAGTAATTCCATGGCATTTTTAAAAAATGTCTCACTTTTCAGCTTTTTCGAAGGTTCTGAAACTACTTGTTCATATGTAGACAGTGTAAAAGACAACGATAATAAAACTGTCAGTAATCAAACAAATCTCTTTAGCTTCTTTTTCTGGCGCCCTCCTATGGAACTTTCATGTATTAAATTTAAAGGGGAAAATACAGGAATCTTTTCTAGAAGTGAATTTAAACTTCTTAACCCTACTGTGAAGTGTTTTTAAGATTCAGCTAAAGAGGTACAGAACATCTATCCCTGTGAAACCTGACCAAAGCGTTCCATTAATCTTCTCTTAATATTTTAGCTGATTTGACAGAACTGTGACCCGGTTCTACCTGTGATAAATTACAGTTAATGTCACGTTAAAATGTATTTATATATAAAATTAATATAAACCATAAAAAGCCAGCTAATAGAGTTCATTCCCAGTGCTGAAATGTCTGATATTAATACTTGGCAATGTTTAAAAGGATAAAACCTAGAATAAAATGGGTTTTACTTCTGCTCTCCACAGTCTATGGCAGAACACACCGGACTGTTCCAGCACTCTGCTTACACTGCACTGGAGGTTCTATTACCACGCCTTTGCTAAGACACGCAAAGCAAGAATGTTGAACTAGCCAAAAACCACCACAGACAGAAAAACAGTGCACCATTAGGAACTTCTAGAAAATATATGGAAAAGGGTAATGCTAGGGGTTTTATTCCACTTTTTATTTTTATGAAAAATGAACAGCTGGAGCAATATTATTCATTAGGTGACTCCTAGACCTTGTAAACATCCAGGACTCATTTTTGAATGAATAGGGCCTATATGTTATTCTTGATTTCTTGGCAAAACACTTCTATAAATAATGAGATCTGAGGAATTCTTACAATAGATTTTTCTCTTATTTCTTCCGGCCAAGTTTTGGAGCCTTCTCAAGGCCTTGAATATATTTCCGAGGTAGCTGGTATTCTTCTGCAACATAACCAAGAGTTAACTTCAAGCAAATATTCAGAGATCAAGAATGAAAAAGCTTTGTCTTGCTGTAACCAGTCCCAGCCCAGTTCCAGACTCGACTTACCTAGCAGCATCTTGGCCAGATGATGGATTTGGTTGCCTTGGATCTGGACCTGAACTCTGTCTTTTGTTCCTGGTACTGGGGTGATGGTGGCACTGGCTTGTACTTTTTGTTGCAGAACGTTGGCTACACACTGTGGGTCCAGACCATACAGCTCCAGGTTCTTGATAATTGTCACCTACAGGTTTTAATAATTATTACAAACATCACTGCTGTAGCTATTAGCAAGTCAGGTCTCATTCATCCCAGAAAAACGAGCTGCCAGAGCTGCTCTCAGAATCTGGGTTTCTGCTCAAAACCTCTACTTTTAGTTCTCCTTTTACCTTCTTATTTGATGATCTCTGTGCTACGGTTATGTTGATGGGCTCAATGTTTCCTTTCCTCACAATAGGTTCTTGTCCAAAAAATGTCACCTGGTGTAAGGGCTGCAGTCGTTCAAGGCACCTGAACAAAGTTCATACATCCAATTAGTCTGTACAGTACAGCAAGGCCGATGTGAACCGTGTTTCTCCACTGCAGCCTCTGACAGGTTTTTGAGATGACATGAAAGCCAAGATAGTACATGTGAGAAGGATTTGTATCTTAAGAAGATAATACATGCAAAGATCTGCATCCTAGCTATTATTTAAAGGGACTGACTGAAAAGAATGCTCGTCCACTGACTTGCAAAAATCACAGCTTAGATCGTTACTGGTAAAATTTTATAAATTGAGTCTTGTAGAGGAAAACCTTCTTTGATTTTGTCTTTAAGCCATTGTTCACAGATCGCTGAAGCAATTTCAGTTTAAAATTCAATATAAACTGTGTTACTGTCCCATGAGCAAACCTGGCTACAGAAACAACAGAAGCTGCTGGAGGCACCTCAGACACGCTGTGTGATAAGGAAGCTCCAGGCAAGTAAAACGTTGAGGGTATTTGGGGAAAGTTTTCCAGTATTTGGAAACAACGGTCTTGTGTCAGATACTCAGGCCGCTGGGACCTAGGAGGTGGGTTTAGGTTATAAATGCAGAAGCTGCGCAGCACATAAAGAGCTGGATGACTAAAAAAGGGCACGTTCAGCTATCTGTGGCAAAGAATGGCTTTTTAAGTATGTACAGATTTTACAGAGAACCAGGCTCTGTTTGTTTAGGAAGCTTTCCCTGCTAAGTGGTTAGCAAGTAAACAAAAACCCCTAACAACAATTAATGCTAGATGCTTATTAAGTGGTGAAGAATGAGAGATCCTTCAAGGGAAGGTCTTTGAGTATTTTTTGTTGTATTACTGGTCAGAAGTTACAACATAGGTAGGGCCAATAAGGTGTGGTTCTGAGTTGCATGCAATAAATCTGTGTCATACTGAAACACTACATTGGGAAGAGTCACCTGCTCAAGAGGTCATCCCATTTAAGGTTGGAGATTTCATCTTGTTCTGATTTATCTAACAGGCAGTCGCACAGAATGGCATTCACCTTTACAAAGCTACGAAACAAAACCAGACATTAGAAGCAAACAAGTTCACTTTTTTCCCCTCTAACTTGTGCATCTCCTGTTGGAAGCAGGGTCGAACAATTTCCACATCTACTTACTTTTTGTTTGTTTCATCAACCAACTCATTAGTCTTCACATAGTTAATGATGATGTTTCTCACCTCACTGCTTGAGAGGATGCTGCCTTTTCTAAAGAGAAAGGAAACTTTAACTTATTAAGTAGTTAGGTGTTGGATTTTGTCACTAAGACAGCAACTACTCTTGACTATGTTTGGTAGCAGCAGCTCAACACTGAAATACATCTGTGTGTGGGAGTGATTTCTTGTTACACCTCAGCTGCTGTACACCAGATAAAAGGCTCATGGCGGTGATTACAGAGACTCTAAAGCCCTTGGTTCTGGGAGCATGACCCAAAGGGCACCCCTAAACTACAGGGCACTGTGGGTAACTCATCCAACAGTGCTCAGCTGAAGAAAGGCTGCTGCTGAGTGCTACCTCAACTACATCAAAACAGAGAGGATTAGTGCACAAGGAGGTAAGTGAGTTCTTTAAATTATCTGGGCATCCTCTTTTAAGTAAACCATACTGTGGGTGGGCAGAATACGCCTTATCCAATGGCAAATTAAGACAATCCGAGTAAAACGTATCAATTTTGACACTTGAGCTATCACCTCCTTAGCTGTGGGAGAAGCGATGTACTTGCTGAACACATTTGTCACAGCCTCTTATCTTTCTTCCCTTTGAGAAGCAACGAATATATTCTCTTGATTCCCATCACCTTTCCTGACAGCATTGCAGGGCCCTCCCCGTGAGGGCTAGCAAAATGGTAACAGCATAGTTTGGTCAGTCTCTTTCTTCATGTAAAAATGGTTTTGTTGTACTTTTGTCATGCTTACCTGTGTCCAGATTCCTGAAAGAGTGGGATCATTTTTGTTGAGACCCCATAAAGCGGAATGATTTCAGGAGCATGGTACACTTGTTCTCTCTCTTCACTCTTGCTGTCTTGGGCAGCAGAGGCTGAAGAAAATCCTTCAGGTACTGCAAATGCTTTAATGCTGAAACGAGAATTATTTGGTGAAAGAGATTGAAAGTATTCACTTTCATTTTACTGAGAAACTAAAACCTAGCAGAGTCACACAAAAAGCTTTCTGGTCTGCTGTACACTATGTCAGTTCCTCCAAATGCCTTCCACTGCAGTGGGGGCTGTGTCTGTGGATTAAAGGACATGATGAAAATAATTTGAAGCATTAGCTGCAATTACTAAATTTGTCCTTGTACACATTTCAAAGACACACATAAATAAGCACCTTAACTCAGGTGATATTAAACACTTTTCACTCTGAGTAAAGACCTGTATGTTGGGGAAAAAGTAAATCTCTCCATCTGTTCTAAGCATACGTGACTCTTGTAATTAGAGGCAACTGCCATAATTCAAAGGATGCAACCCCATCGCACAGAACCACTAGAATTTAAACCCCCCCCCCCAGTTGCACTCTCCACAAATGTGCAGACATGTAAAAGCTGAAATGATTCTTCAGTGGTCACTGATAAAAGACAATTCTGGAAGAGAGGGGTAAGAACCCTATCAGTGCAGGAGCTGGAGTCTCACTTCACTGACCAGAGCTGCAGGTTCTTTGCTTGCAGGTAAGAGAACTGACCAGCTGGGTTTGAGCATGCCTGCCTCCTAATAAGGTCAAGTTTAATGAGAGGAAAAGTTAATGCAGAAAGTCAAAGTAATTCTGCTTCCTTCCAAAGGCAGAAGAGAAGATATGCTTGTATCTACAGAAATGTTCTCCACTCCATTAGTTACCAAGGAGACGTGATATAACAGGAAGCCTCAGGCCCACTGGGAAATTCCAAGAGCGAGCTTAACATGCCAATATGCAGAAGGGACAAGCAGGATGTTCTTGATGTAACTACTAACCCAAAGGTAAAAGAAACACCGATAGAGGAACCGGGTAATAAGTAACTGAAAGGGTAAGAGTATTTGTACAAATCAGCATGTGTAATGGGAAACACAGCAATTTTGTAAAAAAAAAATTTTTTAGATGGTAACTTTGGCTTCTGATTTTGCAAAGTGCTTGATTTGTTCCTATATGACATCCTGAGACTGTCGTTTCATGAGGATTAATTCAGCAGCAGTGTCAGCTTTCTATGGGAGTTATTGTTTAGACAGGTAAGATCACTTCAAGCTCAATGGTGAGTTGTCCCAGCACACAGGTGGAATGGGGAGGGGGAGACCTGCTGAAACTGGAGGGGCAGAAACCACTCACACCATTACAGTCACTGTTACACAGATGGAAAACTGCCTGATGGGTTTCAAACCTTCTTGCCTCCCTTCCCTCAACAATGACAAAGAAACTCACACAACCTGTCAAGACCCTGTCAGAGGAATGTGCTTTTCAGGGACTGCTAGCAGGCTCAATACTGTAACTCTTTTATTAGCATCCAAACTGGAAGCCAGAAGTTTGTCTTTGTAACACTGCAACAAATTGCAATGAACTGAATCCTCCTCAGCATTTTCAAAGCTGTTTCTCTGGAAAATCTGTACGCCCACTACAAGGAGAAAGAGCCATATGACCTTCCAGATCATTTAACAGTCCTCTGCCATCTTAAGTTCTATGGATGAATGCACAACTAACAAGAAAGGAAAGAGGGAAATCATGACACTGTCATTCAATTTAAGCATGCTCAGTGCTAATGAGGAAAGAAGGAAGAATATAGTTTACCTGGAAGGACTTTACAGTATATATACCATATATACAGTATATATACCATATATACAGTATATATAACATATACCCTGCTTCTGTACAGCATTGCTTAAAAGCCCTCCATAGCATAATAAGGTCAGGAAATGGGGGCTGCTACAGCTATTCAGAACAGGAATTCAGGCAGAGGATAAAAGGTAATAAGAGTCTGGAAGTAGCAGATCCTGCTCCCTTCTTTCAGAGACTACCAACTCTTTTAAAGACGACAATATTCTACGTACTCTGGATGTTTCCAGTCCACTTCCACGATGCTCTCCACACCTTTGTTCAGCTCCTTCACTTGTAAGATCTTCTGGTGCTGCATACATTGCAGGAATTTAGAGAACTGAAGGAAGCAATAATGAGAAACGTGGAGTCAAGCATTTTAATTTCCTGTTCATGTGTTTCTGGCTGCCCTGAAGTTACTTGCTAAATCAGAAAAACTTCCTTTAAAAAAAATAAACAACCCACGCCCCACACCTCTGCTTCTTTAAACAGAGCAATTGCTAAGGAGCAGGGAGTACCTCTGGCTCTAGAAGAGTAAAAGCAGCTGTAGGTCTGTAATCTGTGTGCTCTGTGACATTCTTAGCCGAATCACAGTACGCCTCACATGGACTGCTGTGGGACCTTTGGCAATGCACTTTGTCTTTGCTTGTCACCCACACAACAGGGACAGTATCGTCTCCTTTCTCCTCGTTTTTGTTCGTTAACAGTTTTAGAAAAGGAATGGCCTCTTCTTGCAAGTAACTGCACTGTCCAACAAGATCAGACCCCTTTAAGAGCTACTGCAGTACGTAGTGGCAGGCAGCATTAGCTGGTTCAAAGCAGATCAGCGCTCATGCTTTCAGGACAATTACTTTTCTCCTTGGATCCCACAGGAGCAGAGAGTTAAGAAAAAGAACCTGGCTTTTAAGAACAGCTTCTAGGATTTTTTTTGTTTATCTATTTGTTTTACAAACACTTGAACAATTTTGACTTCACTTTTTCTCTCAAATTTTAATTTAAATTAATGCAAAAAAACAACAGAAAAAAAAAAATCTCACCTTCTTATAGCTTGATTTCTTTATGTCCAGTTGTTGTCCAGCAGGGCTATAAATGGATTTTTTAAAAGTTCTTTAGTTATAAGTCACCCTTCATTTCTTCTTAAATCTTGCTACTTATGCTAGAAGTTTCTTAACAGCGGAAATACAAATCACACAGAGAAAGAGTTACTTCAAACAAGCTAATAAATAGAACAGGATGAGTGAAATTAGTGCTGACGTTCTGTGGGTAGACAAACAGCCATTTAAGTGACTAAGCAATCTTGAAACAAATGTCAGCCAAGCTTACTTACTCAAGTTAGTTACCAAGTGCATATCCTGGTCTGGACAATCTTTACATCAAAGTCTCTGATGTAAGAAGTAAGCATAATCTTAGATCCCCTTAGATAAGGGCTGAGTTTTGCTTTTGAGACAAAAATTTCATCCTAAATATCACACATGATCTCCACAGTTTTAAAGACAAAAACCCAGCCCCAGCACGCAAATCCAAAGACAATCTTCTTACCACATACCAGCATGAGAACATATGGCTGCGCAGAAATGTGCTGGTGAGCAGAGGGAGATCAGACTTCTTTACTTTGCATTTTAAGGCATGAAAAAAGCACTGATTAAATAACGCATCCATTTGCTCTGCAGGGGAAAGAAAGGACAGGTAAGCAGTGAGTAGTGTGTCTTTCAGACCACAGAGAGCTGTCTCCACCCCATTCTCACAGGGAGCTGACTGGAATGCCCAGTGCATTCGTGGGTATGGGCTTTGGCCAACCGAAGCAGCACGGTTTGGCTCGCTGGGATACAAAAATACCTTGTGGAGTCCTGCTGTCTTCAGCTTCCTGCTGAACCTCTGTGTCGGCACCTTCAGCTGTTTCTGCTGCTCTGTTCTCATTGAGTTCCTCCTTCCCCGTCAGCATTGCACAACTGTCTTGCTCCTTCAGGCTCAAATCACCAACATCCACATGCTGCAACGGGTCAGTGGAGAAGCTGATGACAGGCTCTTTCCCCTCCACCTCTTCCTCATCTTCATCACTCTCCTTTTCAGCAGGATCTGTTACCAAGGGAGCTAAGGTAGGAGGACAAGATTTGTCACCATATTCCCTATAAAAGGAAGAAAAAGCATATCATAGCTTTCTGTTTACTGCTTTGAAACCCACAGACCAATGAACAAATGTCACCCTGATAAAAGGCACTGGCAGTCGCACAGATCTTTTTCCACATTCTCAAAACTATAAAATTTATTTTTAACTCATCCTTCTCCATAAACTCTGTGTTCCCCTCATGAATCTTTATTTAAAATTGAGCAGACTAGTTGAATCCAAATGCAGAGCAACTCATTTATTTGGTTGAGACTGGCACAGTTGACCGTTTTTAAGCAAAAATGATTCAAAGTTCACTTTTGATAGAACAAGATTTTCTAAAATCAGAGTAACAGGGATGTTCTACCTTTGTTTCTATAATAATTCCATGCAGGTTGAAAGAACTGAATCAAGTTAATAGTTTTATATATCTATTTCCAGTATGTATATAATGCATAGATGTCAGGACAGATACCTGCTTCTGTCAGAAAAGCGTGGTCATGAAAAACATGTAGCTGAAACCTGAATAATAGTCCTATCTAAACTGTGCTCAAATAACTCAGCATGTTGAACTAACAGATTAAACTTACTGGGGCACAGATACCGATCTGAGCAAACATGTGAGACACGTTCAGCATTTTACCAACCGCCTGGCAATATACCCACCAGAGGTGATCCGTGTAAGTGTGCAACACTGCAAAGCCCTTCCCCTTCATTCCAGCAGCCAGCATCTCCGCAGTGGACATAGTGGCAACTGCAACTGCCACTGGAGCTCTGGGAAAAGAGGGAGATTTACAGCAGGGCAGCACAAACACACAGTGCCACTCGGACAAAGACAGACTGCCATTGTGTTATACTGAATTTTCTTTATCATGGCCTTGTTCTTTAAAAAAAAACAACCACCCCATCTAGGTATTTTCTGGTTCTGTCCCATCTTTCTAGTATGTAAACTCTTCCACAGAATCCTAAGGATATGTGCAGCTGTGCTACCGAAGCAAAGGTTGCACAGTGACACATTCTTTGCTCTAATAAAGTACAAGTATATGCACTGCCAAGACAGAACAGCAGTGGGGGAAAAGCTCACAGCTTTAGCACTGCTCCCTCACTGAATTTCCTCACGGACAAAAAGACAACTTGTGTGGAATACAATCTTTTGTTAAAAAAAAAAAAAAATTACTCGGTTTCAAAACAAATTTACCAGTTGTGCTCCCACAGGTCCAAAAGAACCGATGTGCAAAGCTGTCCACCCGAGCTCAAATGTATCCTAACCCGGAAACTTCAGTGGATCTTTTTTCTGCTGTATTTTCCATTGTTTAGGTCCACAGTGCATCAAAAGCACGAGAACAATTCTGCTTGTATTTCCTCAAAATCCCCAGAGTCTTCTTGTAAAAAAATAGTAACTAAACATGAAATGAAGCAAGAAAAGGTATGAATAGAGTCCTCCATACCTGTTTCCCAAGAGGGTGACAGCACAGAGCGTGCCCCGCTCTACTTGAGGAAAGCCAGAAGATGGCACTACAACTCCTGGCAGCATCAGATCTGAAGAAAAGAAGCAAGCACATCCATCTCTCAATGAAAGCCTCAGCCACAACCTCCTCCACCCCTATCCCTCCTGTTACTCAGCAAAAACACAAGCCTGGTAATAGCTGAGCACATGCCAGATAAAACATGATTCTCTTTCTCCTCGTAAGGCAGCACTGCTCGCTACCGCCCTGGGGAGCGAGGGATCCAATTCACAAGGGTGCTGGGCACATCCCAAAAACCCACCGAAGAGCTAAACACGGGCAGCCCCTCGCCCTGTCAGACCCCTTCTGTCCGAGGGTACGAGCTCCCAGCCTAGAGAGCATCACCCTTCATTCATGACGTGGGAAGAGAAAGGAACACGGAGATGCGTCTGGAACTGCCCCTTTACTCCTTCCTAACCCAAGAGCAGGTTATCCCAGCAGCTTTCTCCCTGAAGACAGAATTGCCCAGAATTTGCCACTGCTGACCCAACCCTCCAGATCTGACACAACACTGAACTCTCCTCAGCACGAGGAAGCTGCTTTAACCATCTCCTTGCTAATCTGGACAGAAGCTACACCTTGTTATGCACTTCCTCTTGCTTTCCAAACCCGGGCCGAACAGACTGACATGTGAGTAAAGAACAGTTTTCCATGCCACATGTACAGCATCACATCATCACCAAATTACGTAAAGATCATCTGCTTTCCCTCAGAGCAGCTATACCTGTCTAGAGCTTGCAGTCTCATAGACTGACCTATGTATCACGGTTTGGTTTTGAAGGCATCTCACTTTTTTTTCCTCAGCATCACAGATTTAATGCATACGCTGAAGAAGCCAACAATATTTTTGCTCCCATTCACCGTCACAACTACTTTTAGCAAATCTAGAATGAACTCTGCAGTTGCAAATAAGGCTCCACATCTCTTGAGGACAGAAATCACGTAAAAGGTAAGTAGTGTGTGTATTATGTAAATAATGGGGGCAGACAATAGATACTTGAATTCACAGAAATATCACAAATAGCACTACCTCACTTGTCTTTGTAAACCGAACGCTCCCTAAATCTGCTCCCTCCCTCCACGTCTGCAGCCCTGGACAGTCTCATGCCTTTCCTCTTCTTTCTGAGATGTGGCTCTACCTCTCCCTCTGCCTTTGTTGGCCATTGTCTCAGTAGCCAGCTTCTTATCTTTGGATCTACCCAGAGGTAGCCTGGTTGCCATGGGAGATGAATGACCTGCAGCCCTCTTTCATCAATGTCCTTCCCCCATTAGTAACACTTTTTTTTTTTTTACCCCAGAAACTAGGTCACAAGTCAGCAGCAAGGCTTGTTCAGATGTTTATCACAGCTACACATTCACTTTATTTCCCCAAAAGCAAACAAAGTGAAGAGAGGGACTCGAGTTCTACTTTAGATACTGTGTAATGGAAAAAAAACATCTCTTTCTACACATTCACTTCCATTTACAGGCTAAGGCTGCAGTGGCTGCAATTTAATCTTTTTCTGGTTGAGCAGTTCAGCAATTTAAGGTTTATAAAGAAAGACCTGATTCTCATGAGTCTGAACTGCATCCAAAGCAGGTTCCAGAAAATAGCCTCCTTTCTTGTTAGTCTTGATCCATAATTAGGTGGTAGAGCCAGTAACCCAGGAATGCAAATCCAACCTCACCTGCACAATCCACAGTTTACTTGACAGTGATTACAAATGTAGGTTCCAATATAAACTCACTTCTTATCCATAGGATAAGCTGCTCCACCTCTGAACGGACAGGAAGCGGGGCGGCAGCAAAGGAACTAGGCTGCTCAAATGAAGTTATAAATGACAGATCAATGACACGGGCAGTTGTGTGTCCCAATTCACCCTGATCACCCTGAGAAGATATTTCCAAACCTGAGACTCCCACGTGGAACAGGTTACTGCAGTTAAACAGCTTAACCTACTTTGTTTCATTCCCAAACTTTTTTTTACAGTCAATTTATTTTCTTTTTTAGGATATCATCACCATGATTTACTTTTGAGTCCTTATTCTTCACCCTTTTTTTGTTTCAGGTACATTTTTGCCACCGGGAAAGATAACATCAAAAAAAGCCTAGATGGCATCTCCTTTTTGCAATGCAATGTGACAAAGTTCTAGTCCCCTTACCTGCTCCTCCTGCTAGTTTCTGTAGCACAGGGGGCCATGTTGAAAAAGCAGGGAGAAGATCTGGGTAGACCCACAGGGTGTACACTGTCCCAAAACAGAAGAAAATTTAATGATGCATCATTAAAAACTTCTCTGGCTGTTGCTTCTTCCCATCTTTAAGACTAGACAATAATAACCACAACTAAACACCCTCCTGTTATTCAGGTAATCAGAAAACCTGAAGCCAGAACAATCCTACAATAACTAGTAGATGTGATGGAGAAAAGCAAACTCCTAGTTAATAGAAGCTCTTGTGAATTATTATAAAAAATATAGATAAATGTTTGAATTATTTTTCTTAAATCAAGGAGACACTCTTGAGCTAAAATGCTGCTCCAGCTGGGAAAAATTGCTGGGTATGGGAAAAATAAAAGCATAGAATATCAGAGCAATTCACTGCCTAATTCCAGGGCTGCCCCAAAGTGGACATCATGGTTCTTGGAATTAAACTTTGCAATGAACAAAAGAGAGAAAAGGAGCTAAGATGTTAAACTATGACTTAAAAGAGTCATTCCCTGGTTTCCAACCTCTCGGCATCTCAATTTTCCTTTTGCAGAGAGAATCCAGAAATGCCACTGATTTCGCAAAGATGCTGGTAGAATAAATGCACTAAAGATTATGAAAGGTAGCAACACTATAGCAATAGGATAAGCACTTCAGAGAGACACAAGGAAATCTTTTGGGGAAAGGTTGGTGCCCAGTAAATAAAGAGAGAGGATTATTCTAGCCCATTCCCCATACCTGTTGGATACAGAGCTTTCTCAATTTCAAACAGTATTGGGTTCCTGTTATTCGTGTAAACAGTGATGGCCTCCCCTTTGTGAGAGTATATTTTGATGACATTAAGCTCTTCCTTGTTTGGAATAAACTCAGTCAACTGTTCAGCACTAAGGTTAGGAAAAGCTGCTGCAACATCAGTTCGTAGTTTTCTCCTGTAATGACAACATCACGAATGTGTTACAAAGCTGCCTAGAGCATCCCTCAAAGTAATTCCTAGATCAGTAGTTAGTACTGTTGGCTGTTCATGAGATGACTCCCCCTTTTTCACAGAAGGTAACTTAAGCATTTGTGTAAGGGTTTACAAACGAGGTAGTTGGATGCTGGAAGAATTCGGGGAAAAAGCCAAATGTTTGCCCTGCTCATCTTCTGCCTTAAACACCCGCTGACAGCTCCTGTTGCTGGCTTCGCCCCTGTTTTGCACTGGGATTTGATTGCTCCTGAGCACTAATCTGGGAGTGTCAGACTGGCACAGCCCAGCCTGTCACCTACAGACTCCGGCACGGAGCACCGAGGGCACGGTCGGATTTCCCTCTCCCCCTCGTTTTAACGCGTGTTTAAGACCCGCCGACCGGCCCGAGGTGGGTTCGTCCGGTCACTCACAGACACATCAAGTGACTAAAAGATCGGCGAGTCGGCCCAGCATCACGCCACGGGAATATAAAAGTAAAGATCAGCTCGGCCTCGAGATAACGATTTATTTAAATCTAGTTTAATCACGGCAGCACCTTCACGCGGAAAGCGCGCTCCGTGCTCAGCCCCGCCGAGGCGGCCGCAGGTCCCTGCCTGCCCCCGGCCGGGGTCCCTGCGGCGGGGGCCACCGCCGACCGTTTGTGTCTCTCTGTATCCACACGAATTGTTGTGACTAACTGGTTTGTATATGGGACATTTCCAGCCAGGTTTGGAGATGGATTATATGACTCCTATATGAGGATAGATCAGATTAGGTACCAGGAGTCTACACATGAAGAACACAGCCCCTCAGGACTTCCTTCCCTTGGAAGATCTAATGTGAGTATTTTAAAGTCGTCTGGGTCTTCACGTTGTGTTGTGTGGCTGTGAGAATTTATCGAGGAGATAGATACCTCCTCCCTACAGAGAATAAATTTAAAAAGTGGGATGCTGCAGCTTTGTAGTAGCTTATTAACTTTATTGCTTTTACTAAGCATAAAAATTATGTGGTATTGTGTTCAATGCAGAACTTGCTAGGCAACCTCAGAAACCCTATCGTACTATCTTCAGCTCATGTTTTAATCAAGAAAGTTATTTTACAAAAGGTTGAAGTGTTCTGCCATGTCACCTCGTATGTTGATAAGTATGTAAATCCACACAGGCTTTGCTTTACCTCTTGCATGTTTCCATTTTAGCTTCCCTCATGAAAATTCCGAGAGATAAATACTTACAAACAGCAGAAGGAGCAGCGTGGGTTGGCATGGCTGCCAAACATCTTACAAAAAGTATCTTGCTGCTCTGAAAACTTTGGCATTATCTGCCGCTTCGTTTGCTAGCAAAATAGCTCTTCGTGGACTGAAGGTGTTAACGTGTGTCTTCAGCAGTGCTGTGTTTCCTCAGCAGATGTGGAGTTATGAGATTGTCCTTAAGTTGATTCAGCGGAGCAGTAGTGGTCGTGTTTAGCTGTACCGTGATCTGACCTTTATATGGGTTTTAAATGTGTTTTGGCTCTTCTTGAATTCTGGCAGAAGCAAAGGAGCTTGAGCTTAAAAAACCAACACTCTCTAAAAAGTGAAAATGGACGTTTCATGGAGTAAGATGCATTTGAAAATCATCACCTTGTGGGACTTTATTTTAACAGATATTAGTAATTAATTTGGTCTGTGCCGTTCACTGAGCGAACTCAGTAGCGTGGGACTGCGCTTTCCTTTTTTTTGGCAATAATGAGGAGAGCAGAAGAAATTTAGAGATTTGTGGAGTAGTAAGAGTTTGAAGAGTAGCGGGTTGGGGTTTTTTTTCAGGGACATGGGAACTTTTAAACTGCAGTGCTTAAATCATAATCAGTAGAATGCACCAATCCAGTTAATATAAAATATATAACCCCATGAATATTTTGGTTCACTGGTGCATCTCATTCTCTGTATTTTGTCCATCACTCCTGTTAACTTTTTAAGGCAAGATTAAGGATTCTAGAATTCCTAGTTTTGCCATGGTGGCACATCAGAGAATACAACTTTAGTGATATCTTGTGAGCAGCAGCTGAGATGAAGCATGCAATGGTGAAAATCATGATGCTCGCTTTTAATGGGAAAGTATCTGGAATAGAGCGATATTTGGTTTCTTTGGTATTATAATGTAATGTTACATGAGAATTGAAGAGTTCTGATGTCTGCAGCTGTTCATTCTTTTCATCTCAGCTATAAGAGAACATAAATATCTCTGCTTTGAGAATACATGGGTTCAATGCAGTTTGTTTAATTCAGTAGTCAGAAAATAACTGATGCACTTTTGCAAAACCATTTGTGTAGGAGCTGGGTTAACCGTTTCCTTCTCGATTAAAATGGAAGGTTTGTAATATTTGAAAATCTTCAACGGGGTGCCAGCTGTGTTGTCCAAGACTAATTTCTTGCCTGCTGATAGACCTTCATTAATAAAACAAAACCTGCCCAGCCTGTGATTTTAATGAAAGCTGTTGAAAGCAAGCTGATGTTACCCAGAAGTCATCAGACTTTAAGGGTAGCTCTTCTGGGTTCCAGTTAAGATTGATCTATATTTGTGTCTCATCGTCATGTGGCAAATGATTTTGGTAGTCCTCTAAGAATGAAAACTTAGTCCTTGCTCCTGAATGGCTGCTGAGTCAGGTTTGAGATCCAAAGCCATAGTTTCTTCATTAAGAAGTAGTTCCAGGATAAATGGAATAATGAATCCCCTGTTTATTTAGGGATTCAGAGCTACAGAATCCTTGCTACGAACAGCAGCATTAGCAGAGTTGCTTTTGCTCCTGAGGAGAATATTTAGGCTTAGCAGCATTTGCCAGGCTTTCACGCTTTCTGGTGTTGCTACAGTTGAGGAAATTCAGACTGTTAATGCCAGTTTTTGGAAATCAAATACCTGAAGGAAATCTATGTCATAAGTAGCGTTTCTGGGGCACAGTCGCACGTTTGGAAGTCTCGGGGTGTAGTTCCCTCACCCAGCTCGAAGGCGGCTCCGCAGAGCCCGGCTAATACAAACTGCCGCAGCAACGTTCTGCAGACAATTGAAACCCAGGTAGGGGGAATGTGAGGTTTTAATTGCAGAGGTGACAATAAGACTTCTGCTCTAGAAAGACAGGATCGTCTTGTTTTGGTTTTCTCCCCCTCTCTCTCCTGCCCCCCTGGAAAACCTCAGAAAACAAACAAGTGTGGACCTTGTTCTGTGCTTAGGTTCTCCGTTTATTTGTAAACTTTCTGTCAGAGTCTGCTGGACTGAATAGTCTTTTAGCCAGCTCTGAAAATATGTCATTCTTATCTCGGCGGTTCAGCCAGACTCCAAGAAAAAGGCGTTTATTCTAAATCACCAGGGTTGGGCTTTGTTTTTGTATTTAAGACTTTCTGGAAAGGCGTGTCTCTCGCAGTAAGCTGTAGGTTTGGGTTGATAGGACGCAGAGTAGTGGAGTTTAGTAGGATGTCTCCGATGGCCTCTAGTCACCACTGATAAGGACTGACTTCTGCAGGAAATGCCCTTTTTTTTTTTTTTTTTTTTTTTTTTTTTGAGCTTGTGAACAAGAACTAACATTTCAAGGCGGCACCAACAAACAGACTCTTTAAAGAGACGTGTATAGTTGGTTTTGGCAAGAACATTCACTTCCCTTATTTACTGACTGTGCTGAGATGTTGGATTGTATGTAACTAAAAAGGAATTTGGTTTTATTGCTGTGGATCTGCAGGTTTATTTATATTTTTTGTTTGATTCCTGTGTAGTTATTTTGGTTTTCAGGGATTCGGTTTGGCATGTGTCTCAAATCTTTATTTTTAGATTAAAGGACAAAATGGAAAACAGATGTTGCTACTCTAGTCATGGCTTCTTCAGTGTTGCACGGGGTAAGACAACACCTCTCTGCTGTCTACCAGCATGGAGTGTCAGCGAGTAGAAAAGGAGAATAACTGCTGTTCTAGTAAGGAACTGAACTCTGGGGAGTTCAGCATTTACTCAATTGTAAAAATAGCAAGCTTGAAAAATTTCACAGTGCTTTTCTCACCTTCTATGCATTCATTTCAGTTTTAACATATGGCAGTAAGAGGCAGTGGTTACAGACTACTGTCAACTAAGTTGGAGTAAGAGAGACTCTTGATTTTTCAAAGCTTCCAAGTCTGTCTTAAGATAGTTGTACAGCTGTCATGATTTCAGGGGGAGTTGTTTTCCCCTTCAAAGAAAAAACTTCCTTTTCTTAAAAGAAAAAAAGTGTGGTTTATCTTGTCTTGCTCTGTCATCCTTTTGCTCCTTGTTCAGCTTGGTTACACCAGCCTTATGTCACCTGCTGTCGTTTCTTTGTCTGCCTTTGGCACACTTGTCTTTGCAATATTCCTGACACTTCTCTGCACATTCACGTTCTGTTGCATGTTTCGGACAGGTGCATGCTGCATCTGTCGTTGGTTGTGTTTGCTGCACCCACATTTAAAGCTAAACATAGCTGTTCCCCCGGCTGTTTGCTGACTACGTGCATACTGGTGGGGATAGGTATTGTGTCCTTGTTTGAGTGTCTGGGGTTTACCCTTTATGGACTTAAAAGGACACTACATCTGTGCAAGTGCTTGTTTCAGTTAAGTTGTGTGCTCTTCGTGTACCCTTCTACAACTTACACTTGTAACTTGAGTTCGTTTAGGTCCAGTGTTTTACATTTGTACCTGATAGAAATGCAAAGCCTGTTGATGTTACTGGTTTTGTTTTACATGGTATTGACTTTAATCTTAGTCTGTGCTTTAAAAGATAAAAGTAAAGCTTTTTTATTCCACTCTCCCCCCCTCCATCTGTAGGTTTCTAGCAACAAACTCGCAATGAAGGATCACCCTCTGAGTGGAAGTCAGGTCAAAGTGGAGCAATTGTTTGAGGACTCTGGCAACAGAAGGAGCAGCGCTCTTCAGTCTGCGGGAGTGACTGGTTCAGACAGATCTCTTCCTTCCCTGACAAAAGATAAAAGTATAGAGAGCATAAGCACTTCTAAAAGTGGTGGTAGTTCCTCAAAAACGCATAAAGCCGTTTCCCAAGCTCCAGAGCAAGCTGTCAAACAGTACAAACATCAGTTATCTGCTTATGAGCAGCAAGAGATATTTAATTTTTCTGAAATTTACTTTGTGGGTCCAGCTGCCAAAAAGAGGCAAGGAGTAATTGGTGGTCCCAACAACGGAGGTTATGATGATGACCAAGGCAGCTACATTCACGTGCCCCATGACCATCTCGCTTACCGGTATGAAGTGCTCAAAATCATTGGCAAAGGAAGTTTTGGACAAGTTGCTAAAGTCTACGATCACAAACTCCACCAACACTTAGCCTTAAAGATGGTTCGCAATGAAAAAAGGTTCCATCGCCAGGCAGCAGAAGAAATCCGGATTCTGGAGCATCTGAAGAAGCAGGATAAAACAGGCAGTATGAACGTTATTCACATGCTGGAAAGCTTCACCTTTCGGAACCACATTTGTATGACCTTTGAACTCTTGAGTATGAACCTGTATGAGCTGATAAAAAGAAATAAGTTTCAGGGCTTCAGTATCCAACTGGTACGCAAGTTTGCTCACTCTATCCTGCAGTGTTTGGATGCCCTTTATAGAAACAAAATCATACACTGCGACTTGAAGCCAGAAAATATCCTCCTAAAACAGCAAGGGAGGAGTGGAATCAAGGTTATAGATTTTGGGTCCAGCTGTTTCGAGCACCAAAGAGTCTACACGTATATTCAGTCTCGATTTTATCGGGCGCCAGAGGTGATTCTGGGAAGTCGCTATGGGATGCCCATAGATATGTGGAGTTTCGGCTGTATTCTGGTGGAGCTATTGACTGGATACCCTCTTTTTCCTGGAGAGGATGAGGGAGACCAACTGGCTTGTATGATGGAACTTCTTGGAATGCCACCTCAGAAGCTGTTGGATCAATCCAAGCGAGCCAAGAACTTCATCAACTCTAAGGGTCACCCTCGCTACTGCACTGTAACTACACATGCAGATGGAAGAGTGACCCTTAACGGGAGCCGATCACGTCGGGGTAAAGTGCGAGGAGCTCCGGGGAACAAAGACTGGGTGACAGCCCTGAAGGGCTGCGACGACCCCTTGTTTATAGATTTCTTAAAGGAGTGTCTCAGCTGGGATCCTTCCGTGCGCATGACTCCGAGTCAAGCTTTAAGGCACCCTTGGATTTGTAAACGAACACCCAAACCACCTAGCACTGATAAAACCTCCAATAAACGGATTTCTAGCTATACAAGTTCTTTCACAGGAATAGGTTCCAAGTTGCCTCCCGTAGTTGGAGTAGCAAACAAGCTGAGGGCTAATCTAACATCCGACTCCAACGGCAGTATACCTCTATGTACTGTGCTGCCCAAACTGGTCAGCTAATAGAGAATCACCACCTATTTCCAGAATACATACCTTGGACTTGAATTGTTTGTTGATAATGTGCAAGGAAGTTAAATGCAGAGGTTTTTATTAGAGGCTAAATCTTGAATATGGAAAGTTTCAATCAAAACATGCACATTTAAAGGGCTAACATTCATCCAGTTGTTTCACTCGCAACGTGGTGCATAGTACATCACTGGGTAGGTCAGCTCAGCTGTTGTGTAAAACGACAGTTTGGCAGATGTGCTATTGATAATGCTGTTTTAGATATTAAACTATTTCTTATCAGGACAGTTTAACAGATTTTTTTGCTTAAGACAGCAAGGAAAATTGATTTAAAATACGTATTTTCAGTTAATCTCCAACTGAACTCTTTTTATTCCGGGGCAAGTTTTTACATCTGTTGTCAGAAGCACAAATGTGTTGATGTAATGCATTAGGAACTTGCAAATTGCTAACTTACGTTTGAAGAATTCTGTTTCTCTGTGCTGCTTTTCCCTTATCTGTCACGACTGAGATTTTTAAAAAATATCATGGGATGTAGACACCAAAGGAATTTGGTGTTGAAATTTTATTATCTGAACAATATTTTTTTTTTTTTCCAGAGGAGCATAGAAATGCCACGGAACACAGGATCTAGCTAAATAAAACTACTAACTTCTATACACTTGCTATTTCCCTTAAAAGTCTGTGGAAAGCTGGTAGGGGAATTCAAGATCAGGACTGGTCCATCACAAGTGTTGGACCATCAATTGTGTGTTTCTTTGGAGCTCAAGTTTAAATCATCAGTTCTGCCAGGTTTGTGTGTGTGTTTTCCCATGTTGTTCCTGGAACAAAAATGTTGAACTTAGAGCTGTTTTATATACATGTTTGAGATTCTGGTAATTTTAATTTTTTTTTTTTTTGTGTAGAGTGAATTCCATTGAATTACATGGAGCTCTTTTTATTAAAAGTAAACATGCCACCTCTATCAGGCAAGAAAATGTTTTTAAGGCCCAGGACTGTTACTCGAAAAAGGGTGGGGGGGAGGCACACTTAATAGTTGGAAGTGTGCTCTGAAATCTAAGCATAATTGTGAAATATCAGGAAAGATGGGTAAAGTGGATCCAAATCAAAATACGTTGTGGGAAGAATCGCTCTATTTCTAATCGTATTCCTTCAGGTCTTTGAGAGAGAGATGACTACGTTTTCTCATTCTTGAAATATATGAGCTTGTATTTCCTCTTCCTTTATCTTCCAAGAACATGAGAAGGTGGTGTGACCTGTAATGACAACAGCACAACTTGTTCGGGTTGTTACTTCTTGCAGCCACATGGCCCGAGTCCATTTACAGAAACATCTGATCTCTTGCCAGGTGCCTGAACAGAATTTTAAACACGATTTAGAGCTTTTATGAAGAGAAGGTTTTAAATTTAATGAGTTTCTCTGTAGCAGGTTTTTAATGTTAAAACAAGGAGATTCTCAGTATACAAACAAAGGAATTATCAGGGTGATTTTTCAGATAAGGTGACCACATGTTCAATGCAAGACCCTCCCTTTGAGAAGATGGGGCTGCGTTTTCTCCTCTGCTCTGTTTAATTACAGCACTGGCAAAATGCTGGGTGGAGGCCTGTGTAAAAATGCAAAAAGACAGAGCCAAAGCTCCAGACTGTCCAGGACTGTTGGTTAAACTGAGGTTCTTTTGTACGTAGCCTTTCTGAGTTCCTTTGTTTTACAAGCATAAACTCAGTAGGCTTCATAATAATATTAAAATAGCAGTCTAGCCTTTATCTGTGCAGCTGCAAGTAATACTGGTGTGTATGGTCTGATCATGGTTCACTTTGTAATAGTGCGTGACTGGTATTTTTTTTAATTTGGCTTTGCTGGGTGGGGTTGTATTTGAGTGGAGAATCAGGAAAGGGGATTTTGGGGGTAAGTGTCAGAAGACACCATCGATTCTGATAGAATCTCTAATAGATGTGGCACGATTTCAGAAGCCAGAAAAATTCTTCCTCCTCTGCCCTTTATGCATTTTCTCACAACCTTTTCTACACCTGGTGAGTGAGGAGAAAGGAACCTTTCTAGAGCAATAGCTTGTTAGGAAAGATGCATAGAAAAGCACTTTATATAGAGACCATAACGGGGTGGTCGTGCCTGGAGCCTGGCAGAAGGCAGTAGAGAGTTGGCGTGCTGGGAGCTGTACAAACAGGTCTTCTCTTAGGAACACGGGGCAGTATCTTGGTTCTAAACCATTTTCATCTGTAACATACCATATGTAGAACAGTAATTTTCCTGTGACTTCTGGGAACTGGTTACTATGAGGTAACTTCTGGTGTACACACAGTAATCTCACTTAAAGCTGGTGCTGTAAAACTGCAGATGAAGTAATTAGCTGTCAGGAACGTTGCTTTGTATCTAGAAAATGTGTTCAGCATGACCTGGCTGCACAAGGTGCCCGTTACGAGTTGTGTTATGTTTAAGACTGGATCTTACCTGGGACTACTGTATTTTAAAATCAAGTGCATACTTAACTGTCTTGCTAATTTGGGTCTCTTGTCTATACAGCCATAGTAGGTGAGGAAGAAAAGGAAGCAGCCTCAGCAGAGTTTTGCTGTACTGAAAAGGATTTCTTCATAACCCAGGGAATACAGCTGAGAGAGTATTTTGGTATTGTTTCCAATTACTGAGCCCCATTTTCTTGATGAAATGTTTGCTTTCAGTGAATAGTGTGACACAGTGTTCCCAAACTGGGAGAGCCCTCCAAGTGAGCTAATAAATCTCATATCTGGGAGAAAGCTGAGGACTTGCCCCTGCAAAGCACTTGACCTGTTGAGGTCCCTGTGAATTGGGGCTGTGGGCAGCTCCTACCCCGTGTGGGGGGCTGGCCCGTGGGCTGTGTGGTTTGTGAAGCGTGGTCACAGTCACACTGGCTGTCTTCACCGAGACACAGTCGAACCTCAAATTCACACTTTTGGTTTTTTTTTGGAAAGCTGAAATGCTAGTGAGGTCTGAAATGGCCAGAAGTTCATCTTTTTCGTTAGTTGTGATACTGGTTAGAATGTTAAAAGTAGTCTAAAACTAAACTTGCCTAAGCAGGTTATCAGAGCAGCTTCTGGTTTTTGTGGTAACTCTTTGTTAATCTGCCAGCGCTAGCGAGGTTCCACTGGAACTTCAGTCATGTTCTCCTAGGATGTTAGCACAAAACAAATGCAAATTACTTGGGTTTACAGCGAAACAGACGTCGTGCTTATAAAAGTCACCTAAACTCGTTTTAAAATGTTCCTTACAACTGTTCCCTCTGTTTCACTGCACTGTCAATCTCTGTATTGTAAATAACACGCTCTGTTTATTGTCTGCATTTTTAGCTGTTTGGTTTAGCGATGGTTTTCTATAAACGAACGACAAGGCACGAGCATCACCTCTGACAGATAACGCTTTGCTTTGACACTGGAGCCCGAATATCATCTGCCTGTCCAAGTTGCAGGGAGAAACTTATTTTTATTTGAACTCGGTGGGACAGTGAATTATTCCTTTTCCCTTCAGGACACGGTACCACAGACAGACACGCACCCAGGCTGTGTTTAGCTCTTTGCAGGTTTGATCTTACTGACGCCAACTGCTGAATGTGAAGCTTCTTTCACAGCACTGACCTGATTCTAGGGATCTCTTGTGTACAACAGATACTCTTCACTGCAGTTTGGTTGTTTGTTTGTTTTTTTTTTTTTAATCCTTCCCATCAGTTTGAATAGGAACTCTAGTTGTCCAGTGACCCAAGAATTCACACCAGACCAACTGCAGAGCTTTAAGGTGACTTTTGTGGAAGAGTGAGTGCGTTGCTCAGTCTGAAATTGCTTATAGTCACTGTGGCCTGTTAGGACTTTTCATGCAGTCAAAAACTTTTCAAGCAGCATTTTATCAGTAGAGGTTCTTTGCAATGGTCATCCTCTTTAAAACTACCTCCAAAATGAACCCAGAGCCCTTTTTAAAGGGGTAGTCACTGCAGACTACAGCTCCTCTTTTTTTTTTTTTTCCTTGTTTAATACTAATAGCTGTTTTGGCTGTGAAACGTACACATGATGATCTCAGCAATGTCTTACTAATCCTGGCCATACAAGCAAAAGGCTGATTCTGCACCCAGAGATCTCTGCTGAAATGATTGATACAAATCCCCTGCCTGCCAAAGTTTAATACTGTTGTGGAAGTGGAGAACCAAAATAATATGGAAAGATCTGCGGTACTTCTCTGCGGTACCCAGCTGAGATTCCAGACAAACTGTGCTGACAGACTTTTCTCTCATGAAAAAACCTGTAGCTTCTGCATGTGTTGAGCTCTCAGAGCTGTGGGTACCTGTCAGTTTGGGAAACTGGACATCATGGTTTTATACTTAGTGCTTAGCACAGATACCACTTGATTTTTATTTTTTTTTAATTAATTTGATAAGGGTTTGGGGAAAAGTATGCACTTCATACTTCCCACAAAAGAGCCCTTAACGTGTTCTAAAACTCCTCAGGTTATCTTGGAGGTTTTTAATTCCCGCTGGAACGTGTAAAATCCTTGGGTCATCAGAACAGTCTTGGATAGGTGAACGTTGTCCCTGTACTCGGAGGGTGCAGTGACTTTATTCCAAATACAGTTCTTGCAGACGGGCTAACTAGGTCAGTAAGTCTGTGTTGCTAAAAGAATAACCCCTGTTCCCTATACATAGTACTGTGCCTTATTATTTTACCAGCCTACATCTGTCTCGGTGCAATCGAATTACTCTTCAGGGTTTCTTACACATTGCAGATGTTCATACTAAATGTCAATGTCTAAGGAATTTACAGGTTAGCCTTTTTATTATAAATATCGTGATGAGGTGTAATATGGTGGAGAATGTAGAAGACATTTAAAGTGCATGTGGACATAACTCTGTGAAGGAACACTTTGGAAAGAAGTCAGTCTCAAACTATGTATCTAAATGTAATGAACAGATATTTCCTAAAGCTGTATTTCGGTTCATTTTTAAAAGAAAATAAATACATAATTTTCTTTAGCAACAGACTGTGCAAATTCCTAAACGGCCTTGATTTTTTTTTTTTTTTTCAAAAAGTATTAATTATTTCCAGATGGTGTAACTTACCTTGTATTGCCAGACACTACCTTCTGTGGCATCGAACGAGACACGAGTAGAACGTTTTCAGACTCTACGTGAATAGATGATTTCAGCGTGTCTCTGCTGAACGTGATGAATGCTCTGATCTGACAAATGTTCTTCTCATTAACGGTGCTGTAATTAGAACATATCGAAGTTTTGCCATGACATTCTTCAGTTGTCACTTTCTTATTCAGCCCACTAGAGATCTTTTTAAAGCCCAGAATCCTGCTTATCCCTAGGCTGGAAGGAGAAATCCAGTAATAGCCACTTAAGGAAGATTTGCTTTTATTAGAAACCTATAAATGGGTAACCTACTGTACACAAGTGGATATTGGAATAGTTTGAAGATGAAATCATGCTGCAATAAACCAGACTCTAGCTATGACCTGTCTGATTAAACAGCGCTGTTACGTGCAGCAAGTTTGCAGACAACACCGAGTGAATTTTTTTTTTTTTCCTTGTTTGTTTTAACGTGGGTGAATGGCGAATGTTTGATTTAAAAAAAAAAAAAAAGTTTACAGTCTGAAAACAGTAACGAAACATGTATGTGCAGACATTTAAGTGTTCTTTGAATGTCTTTTGTTTATAGTGTGTGTCTATACATACGTGTAGCTGCGTTGCCTGCAGGCACAGCGCCTGCCCAGTCTGCTGCGCTGACTGGTTTTCAGGGGACAGGCTCTGTGTGAGGGTTTCGAGTGGCGTTTTTTTCAGCCGCAGCAGCTCATTTAAAAAAAAAAAAAAAAACCAAAAAACCAAAAAAAACCCTTATCTTGCCACGCTGTAATACTTGTTGATGTAATATGATGAGGTATTGTATCACAAATTCTGCTGTTTGGAGCTTGCAGAGTGGGCTGTAAAGAGAAGCGCTGTGTAACGCCAGCTGAGGAGCTGGGGAATCCGATCCTAAAGCCGTATTCCCCTAATTCTGCCTGTCTAAATTATGCTGAGGGATGTCGATATAAAATCTGCATCTCTGCACAAAAAAGATGATGGGGCAGGAGCCTGGAGCCTGGCCCGCTGTTGCTTATGGGTTATATTCCATCCATTATTAATTATTGCCGTTTAATTAATGTGGCTTCTTGAAGGAAAAAAATCAGGAGGAGAAAAGATCTACTTGCATTTAGCAATACTCCTCCTGGTTCGCTGGGTTTAACTTTTCAAGCTTTGGATAGTAAGAGGGCGATGCCGTTCCATGTAGCAGATTCATTCAGCACAACGTGCTTTAAAGAGCAGCTGCATCGGCCTAGCGAGCGAGTTGTTGCTCAGCGCAGATTTGTCAGTAGGCAAAAATTAAACCGGGCATTTGAACGGGCTGAGGGCTTTTTTTTTCAGCTGCCTACCTGACTTGTAAGACAAGGCTTTTCAGTGGTGGCTAAGGTGCTTTGGAGCTTCAGATTTGGGGTCTTTTGCTTGATACATTTTAAAGGGGCCTGATTTTTCTGAAAAATAAAGGCCAGAATCTTCCTAGGGTTGTTCTAAAGGGCCTCAAAATGACCCGACTGGTTGGATATTCTAGTAACAGCGATGCTTTAAGTGGCTGGAGTCCCCACGGTGCACGCAGGGTCACCGGACGGCACCGAACCGCGGCGGCTCTTGTGCCCACGGGGCTGGGAGGAAGGGGAAGGGTGGCTGTGAGCTTTCCCGGAGCCGAAGGAAGAAGAAGGGTGGCTGGGAGCTTTCCCTCGAAGAGGCGAGGCTGCTCTGTGTCCAGAGACCAGGAGCCTCTCGAGCTGCTGGGCTGGGCTGCATCTCCTCGTGCTGCCACCGAGGAGCTGCCCGCAGGGGCTTTAGGTTGCCCTCAAGTAAATTGTCTGCTGGAACGGGTGGTAGCGGTGTAAATTGTCTGCCAGAACGGGTCAGTCTCTCTGAGGAGTCTTTCTGAGCCCTGTTCTCCATTCTCTCACGCACACACACACAATTCTTACCGGTGTGGGTCAGTGTGTGGCTCAAGGCTGTGTGGACCTAAGAGATGTATTTTGCCCATAATGAGGTTTTCTCTAAGAATCAGCTGGCAAGCTAGTGCTAGTCTTCGTACGATCCATCTAATTCTTTTTATAAACTTTGCTGCACAGGCGATGAATGAATGACGGGCAGCGCTGAGTTTGTTTTCTTTCCTCTTGTCAAATTAGCCTAACGGGCTTTCCAAGTGCTTTTTAGGACAGCCCTGTGCACAGACGCTCAGAAACGTCTTTTCCTCTGACGATTCTCTTCTCTTCACATGAATGTGCGTTTTTTTGAACAAAGCACGTATGACGTACGCCAAATGTTTTTCTGTGGCACCGTCTCTGTGCCTCCCCACTGTTTGTACAAATGCAATAAATGCGCGGGGACGTACTTGATGCGGTTGCAGCCAGCGACAGCAGACATCTGTGCCCCGAGGCATCCGTGAAGTCTGAACTTATAAGGAGTTGAAGGAGGGTTTGGGACCTGGCACTCGGCTTCAGTGCAGAATTGCAGAGAGATGGGGTCATTGGCACGAGCATTCCCCAGCTTTTCCCTCGCCTCTTGCGACGGGGGTTTAAATGAACCATCCCTTAAGTGTGCTTCAGCCTGTTTGCTTTGTCTGCGGGGATGAAATAGTTGCCTGAATGAAGTCTGCCCATTCTTAACCACTGAGAGGAGCTTTCTAAAGATGACAGAGTCAGCCCCAGCCTCTCGCTGAGGAGCGGGGCCATGTAAGGATTTGCATTCCTCCCGCTAGCTCGGAAACTCGGATATTTGGCTTTACAAGAGGAGGAGAGACATAGCGGAGGGAATTGTTTTACTGGGCAAGTAGGTTGTAGGTAGGAAGGCAGAGACCATGATTATAATAATTAAGTGTAATTAAGCACGGCTGAGAATGGATTGAAAAAAGGAAGGGACATGCCTGATTAGCCCGCAGAATTTACTGTTGGAGGCTGTTGTAAAGACCAGCGACACAGTTTTTAAAACAGGTTCAATTTAGTATGAAGTTCTTCCCAATTTGAATAGAATTGTGAGAATTCCTCGGATGCGCTGCGTTCGAGAAGGGTGCTGCTGAGCAAGGGGACTTCCAGACGAGAAATAATTCAGCCAGTTCTTGCGCTGGGCGGTTTTCTGGCTGCAGGGAGGTTGCTGTGGACGTGCAGCCCTGGGAATGCAAGAAGCCATAACCAAGACAGAGCTGGTGGCCTGTGAGGGCTGTGCCGTGGTTGGCCACGTGGAAAAAGATCTTGTAGGGCAGGAAAAAGAGTTGGAAAAGTAGGATTTCCACCCTGCCACGCTCAGCAGGAGCCTCAGCTGCTTGTACTGCTCATTCTGGCGTGGGCAAAGGATGAGAAGGAAAGGACAACAGAAGGATTTTACTCAGTGCTACCACAGGTCCGGCCGATAATGCCCAAGGTCCTGATCCGTGTCCTGCACGGCCCGGGGCTGTGCAATGCAGGAATATCTTCCGAGCCTGCGTGCGTGCCCATCTCCTGTCCAGCCGCTGCCACAGGGATGGGTGACAGCAGCACCAATAACGTTAATGATAGAAGCTGCCAGTCTCTCCAGCAGGTGTTGATGATGGATGGCATAAATGAAATTATATTTGAGGTGTGGGCAGCCAGCTGTAAAGTCATCAAACAGGAAAGGTCACGCAAGTAATTTACACCAGAAGTCCTCTGTCCTCAAAGCCATAAGCACAGAATAAATATGTGCAAGCGAGCAGAGAGGGATATTTTTTTTTGTCCGAGGCCGAATCTCTGAGACACGAGCACTATATCCCCTGTGTATCCCCCTCACAATTCCTGTCATTGCTGTTGCCCTGTGCGGAGCTCAGGGAGTAACAAGCCTTTGGCATGGTTTGGTCGTGATGCTGCTGGCTCCTGTCTGACGTGGGGTAGAAAGGGGCTGGAGAGGGGCAGCCCCCTGGGCTTGGGCTTCTGAAGGTGCCTGAAGAAATGTGCTGCCCACTTTTTGCTCCATGCCGGTAGCGTTTAGGTGCTTAATTTATTCTTTAGATGCAGATAAATGTGGAAAACAACAAGGGGGAGTTAAAGCGTTTTTGGCTCCTTTGCTGGAGGTGCCTCGAAGCACCACGCAGCCTCCACGTGGGACCCCGGGCACTGGGAGGGGGTAACTGCTTTTTCCAACACTTTCCCAATACTTACACCGGGGTGATCTTCAAAAATGCCTCTTGAATCTGGCCGCTGTGAGGGGCACAGGGAGGGCTGCGGCTCCCGCTGGGCACTGAATTGCTGAGGAAGGTGGGAGTGTGTGTGTTTGGATGGGGGGGGGGAGTATGGGGAAGCCAGCGGTTATTTTGGGAGGTGCAAGAGGGGAGCAAACAGCCCAGCTTTCATTTTCCAGCCAGCTGGTGCTGATTCAGGATGTTTTTGCAGCGACAATTGCGTGGAGCTCAGCCACCGAGGGCTTGGTTACACGCGCTGGCTGCAGTTACGTGCGCAGCAGCATTTTACCTCCCTCATCGTCTCGTTTCTCACCACATGGGCCACTGGTGGTGCTTTTAGGAGAAGCAATAAGATGGCAGGAGGGTAAGAGAAAGCCAAGACCTCCAAGCCGGATTTTCTTCTTCTTTTCCCTAGTCTAGTGGGATCACATGCTTTGCTATAACTATTTCCAGACCCCTCTTCAGCATTTGCAGGACTAAGCGTGATCCTTTGACACATCCCCATGTGATGGGAAATGCACAAGAATGACACAAACCTTTATAAATATTCTTTGATGATTCTTTTCTTTTTTTTTCTATTAAACTAAAACCCGAGCTTCATGCATTGTTCACACTGTTAGGTCTAATTACACAGAGCAGATAAACGGCCTTTTTGAAATGCTTCCTCAGGTTGTGGTCTCGCTCCACGGCCCTTTCAGTGAACTGGCAACATCACAGAAAAATTCTTTGCTTCCCCAGCCACCACAAATACAGCTTTTGGTGGACCCACTTCCAGGCGTTCTCCCTCCCCTTCCTTGCCCTGTCTCCAACCTCCCTGCTGCCGTTTGCAGAGCTCTTCCTACGTGGCTCTGGTGAGGGATTAAACACGGCAGGCCTCAGGGATGGCAGGCGTGGGAGGTGGGAGCTTCGTCCCCTCTCTGCCCGCAGCCTCGGGGTGACCTTGCGCTTCGCTCGCCCCTCTGCAGCTCACGCAGGAAACCGCAGCCCTGGAGAGCTGCCCCGAGCAGCAGAGCAGAGGGGCCCTAGGCTTGCAGGACGGTTATTTTCTTATGTTGTATGTGACTGGTTTGGACTCGTTTATCAGACCAGCCGCCTGGTTTTTCTGTCTGCTGGCCGCGGAGCTTTCTCCTTCCACCCAGATCCTGCCACCGCGGCGGGTGTGTTGGCACAGTGCTCGGTCCCCGAAGCCTGAAGTCCATCTGGAGAAGTCACTCCCCTGACTCCCTGTCCGTGAAACCAGCTGGAAAGGGGCTAGCACCCAGCAGAATAGCTGATGCCTTCCGAGCATCGGGGTACGGCCTGGTTCAAGCCTGTATCCGCATCCTTCTAGCTCTGTTTTGTG